TTGTTGCGACAACTGTAGAATAAGTAAGTTACTGTAGATAAGTGCTTATTATATAATTTAGTTCATATCAAATATTTATATTGTAAATAATTAGTTTTATTAACATGTGAATAGATTAAAAATTAAAGTAGAACTTCATTTATGCTATATGCTATTATATTTAGTGATTCAATTATATACTTTTACTTTATAATTTATATAATATATTACTTAATTGTTATTTTCAATTTAGCTATTTATTTAGTACATATCTTTGAAAAAAATATTCTTAAAAAAGCAATGCAAATACTTGTAATTATGATGTTCAAGAATTTTAACTTTTAGCTTATAATATATATATCGATATAAAATTTTAACTCACTTTTTTATATAATTAAAATTTAAAATTTTCTCTAACATGTCTTCAGATAATAAAAAACAAAACTATACAGCTATTAGTGATGATACTAAACATCAAATTTGTGAGTAGGTAAAAGCTAACAAAAATAAAAAGTATTATGAGATCACTGACCACTTTAATGAAATATATTTTAATTTGTCAATTAATTGAAGTACTATATTAAAAATTTTAAAACAACAAGATAGATGGATAGCTGTATCTAATACTGAAATTTCAAGTAAAACATTCAGGTAAATAGCCTTTAATACTATATGAACATGCAGATATATTATTTTAAATAATGGCCTAAATTAAGATTAATTTAAGCCAAAATTTAAAATTATTCTCTTACAAATATTAAAGCTTTAAAATTTTTAAATATTGTTAAATTTTAAAGGCATAGAGAAGTTAAGTTCCCATTATTTAATTGAGTAATAAACTTATGGGTAGAAAATATAATAGCAGGTGGCATTATTTTAACTGACTTGCTAATTAAAGAAAAGGCCAAAATTTTTGCTTCTGCATTTGATGTACCAGAGAATAAATTAGTTTTTTCTAATGGATAGTTAGAAAAATTTAAAAAGTGCAATAATATTCGAAAATATCATATACATAGAGAATCAGTAAGTGCTTCACTAGAATCTCTACCAGAAGAAAGACTTAAATTGTGCAAACTTTTAGCTCAATACCCTCTTGATAATATTTATAACATTGATAAAACAGGTCTTTTTTATAGAATGTGGCCAAACCAAACACTTTCATTAAAGCCTATTCTTGGTCAAAAAAAAGATAAAACTAGAATAACAATTTCTTTTGGAGTTAATGCAACAGGAACTGATAAATTAGTACCAAGGGTAATTGGTAAATCACCACATCCAAGAGCTTTTGGTTATATGAATTTAAACTGTCTTCTAGTACCTTATTGTGCAAATTCAAAAGCTTGGATGAATTCATCACTTTTTGACGAAGTGCTCAAATATATGAATAATGAATTTAGAGTTAAAAATAAAAAAGTTTTACTTTTAGTTGACAATGCACTATTATATTTTGATCCAAATAACTGCCTTCAAGATATTAAAATTGAACAAAATAATAATATTGATGTTATCGATACTAACATTATTAAAGTGGTTGTTAAAATTAACAAAGATAATGAATATAAATATAATAGTTATGGTGAAGAGAGTTCTATTTCAGCTAGATCATGTGGAAATTTTTGCCAAAATCGAGCCAAAATGCTAAAACTAGCACATGGTAATTATATATATTAATAAATAAAATTTTGTACTATATAGGCACAAATAATACACAGGGTATAATGTCAATTTTGTCTAAATTAAACTTTATTCAGGCTATTGCTCAAAATAATATACTTGTGCATTATTTTGTGTTTATGCAATATTTAGTATATTAGTGCATTTTGTTATTTTATAGAAATCTTCTAAATAGTACTTAAAAATTAGCAATTAGATTTTTTTAGATAATATTCTAATTATATTCAAGAGTCCCCTAATCTAACTATGCTAAATCATTCTAATCTTCTCAATATATTACTAATATAATATACTATTTTAATTATACTTAAAAAAATTAGAATGGTTAAGATAAGATATCTACAAATATAGTTAGAATAAATATTCTTTTAGCAGCCTTAATATTTTCTAATAAAAGGCAACTAATTTTTTTTTTATACTAATAATAGATACTAAACATAAAAGTAGAAGTAAAAAATATAACTCTACTCAACTAGATACCAGTCAACTTAATCTAACTCATATCAAAGTAGCCTTTTTACTACCTAATACTACAAGTCATCTTCAACCCTTAGATGTAGGAATTATTGCAAGCTTTAAAGCTTGTTATAAGATAATTATTGTTGACATGTTTTAAGTATTTTTGAAGATGGAATGAATATAAATAAAAATAAACTAAATATTAAAGTAGCAATTAATTATATAGTAGATGCATGAAATGGTATATTGGAAGCAACTATACATAACTGCTAGAAAAAAACTAGCATACTACCCACAATTACTAATGATGAGTTAGCTAATATGATTCATAATCAGGAAGATATTTTAATAAATGAACAAGATAATGCTAATCAAATGGTTAAAGGTTTAACTAGTTCATCTAATAATCCTTTGGCTAATTCATTAGCAAATGTTTTAAATAACTTTTTCATGATCTGGATGAAGAAATTCCAACTGAAGATGTTTTGAATGAAAATGATATTATATATTTAATTCAAGAAGAAGTATGTATTAAAAGTAATAATCTAAATCATTTAGATGATTCTGAAGAAAAACCTGTATTAGTATCTCTAAGTGATGCAAACAAATCATTACATACTTGGATAACCTTTTTTGAGCAACAACAAGCAGATGAATTCAAGATGAAAGATTTGTATATTTTTAAAAAATATATTAAAATAATTAAGTGATGTAAATTTCAAGCAAGAAGCAGGTTGCAATAATTGACTTTTTTACTTATAAAGATTAAAATTTTATTTAAGTTCGCATATTATTTCTAGTGAGTATTTTTATTATTTTACTATTTTTCTCTATTAAAATATTTGATATGAACTAAATTATATAATAAGCACTTATCTACAGTAACTTACTTATTCTACAGTTGTCGCAACAA